TGTGTTTTCTAGTCATTGATAATGTTTGGAAACTCACATGTTCCTGTGCAAATGAAAACACATTGCTTTCGTTACGTAGATGTTTGCTTCAATTCAGGTCTTTTATTATGACTATTTGAGTTCTATAAAAAATGCCTTTAGAGATCCTTAAGTATATAAACGATGATAAAAATATAAACAGCTTATGTAGCTTTCTGAGATGCATGTCTTTATAGATGCTTTAAACTTACCAATCTGTGCAGAGTCATGGCCGTACAATATCTATAGATCTCATTCTGATATTTTACAATGTCATTTTGTTCTTTATTTTTCTAACATTAAGCAATGAAAATAATATTTCTTTATTTCACATGCATAGATATATCTATACAAATGCTTACTCATAAATACATATTTATTGAAATTAAAAAACATTTATGATTTTTCAATGTGTCCATATTTATTTTGCATCTAGACTATGCTTAGTATTGTACAAGTTGGTCAGGTCATGCTATGATACACATTCCATTTTAACTGGTGCATTAGGTCTATTTTACATTTATATAAGGCATGAAATTCTTATGTTGTGAAAAGTCAATGAAAAGAATTAGCTCACCCACACAGTAAGATACTTCCTCTTTCCCAGCTTCTACTTTGACTGGTAGAGACAATTCTTCCATTAGCAACAATGACCATCATACTGTATCCACCTCCTTTTAGCAGCCTCCAGAATCTGCTTTTAAACATCACTGATTGTTACCAAAGCAGAGGATGGATGTTAAACATTCTGGACAATATAAACAATGAGAATGTTAATATTGTCATAATTTAGTAATTAGGGAATAATACTAGATATAATTAATAAAGTCAGGAATGGTTTCCAAATACAGTATAGATGGCGAAGAATGCAGGCAGTAATTTAATGTCTAGGTTTGATAGTACTTTCAATCACTGAATCAAAGAAAGTGAATTGGTTCATTTGAAAACCCACACTTATCCATAATTTGGTGGTAAGACAGATGGAGAAAGCATAACAGGCTGCTTTGAGATATATTAGGGAAAGTATCTAAGAATGGAAAAGCACACATACCTTCAGTGTAGAGGCAGGAATTTTCTGTGGTGAGGTTTTTTCCAGGCAGCAAATGACCTCAAGGAAGAAGAGAAACAGTAATAGGACAAAGGGGTGGAGCTGTGTGGAATGGGTGCTGATAGTGAGGCTTCATAGGCTCTCAGAAAAGAAACAGGACCTGGGTCTACAGTGAGGATTAAGCTCACTTGCAAGGAGATCTTTCATTCTGCAATAAAATCATCTAAGCAGCCACCAGGCCAGTAGCTCCCGGGGAGAGATTCTTTCCAGAGAAGGTTAGAATGGCATACAGCTTTGCACTCACATGTTGGCTGCAAAAGAAAATTAAAAATTGACATGTATTTTTTCTGTACCCAGAGAAATGTGTACTATTAGAAAGGCTATATTTTTCTCTTTGTTAAATATCTATCAATAAACCAGAATTCTCTTTTAAAGTAAGTGCCTCAAAGAGGAGATGTGCCCTCACCCGTTACAAAGTCAGTATTTTATGCCTATTTCATCTAGAATTCATTGTATATTATTTTAATTTTCATCTACACTAGTCAGTATACTGATTTCACCAAAATTAAGCATTCACAAAGAATGTGATCTGCTACAACTTTATTTATTCCTCCATGCGTAAATAAATATTCCAGGGGTGATAATTCCAGGACTCTATTTCTATCATTAATATTTTATGATATTAAAAATTTCTCTGATAAGCTGAGCTGCTTGCATGAATCTTAGGTCAACCTAGCTACTTGGAAAGGATACTCTAACTTGTTGAGCTGGCTGCAGGTTACCCAATGCACTCCACGTTTTCAGTTTTTCTGGGCTGTCACTTATGTTCCTAAACCATTCATCTATATTCTCATTAGTTACCCCCAAATAAAACTTATTGGTTCAGCAAGTTGGAATTTATCTGCACTTTGATCTACCACCCGTTCCATATATAGGGTGAGTGGATGTTTGTTCATATTGACCCCCTGCCCCAGGAATAGTATCACACAACAGGATTAAAATTCAGTTGGAAAGTTGTTGGTTACACCAAGGGATGTTTAATGAACTCTATAGGTTTAAGGAAAAATGATGACACAAAGTTAGATAGGTATAAAAAGGGATAGATTTGGGAGGACTTGGGGAAAATGAACAAACTATCAAAATATAAAATATGAAATTTTCAAAGAATTAAAAAATATTTTTTAATCATGGGTTCTCAGTGACAGTGGGTCACTCAAGTGTTGTCCAGATGATTATGATCCTTCTGCAAATTTAAATTTTTCTATCATGGTCTAGGTACTGAGTTACATAATTTTACTAGCTGGTATGTTGAACCCAAAAATCATGCATAATTTTACCAAAAATGCAGCAACACAATGTAAGACAGTATTTCTCACTTCCTTGCTAGTAAATGAGACTCTAACTTTCAGTGAAATATCAAACTAGAAAAATGAAGAGAGCAAAGAGCAAAAACTTAAGTTCATGAATAGGGAGGCATTCGTTTGATCTCTTTTAGGAATGATAAACGATCCTTGAAATCATGCTTTCTTATCATGTTGTCCTTTTCTGTTTGATGTTAGTCAAATAATTAAGGAGAGGAACTTTTGTACATGTCTATTAACCAAATGTAATAAAATCTTAGGATAGCAGATTAAAAATTCATAACCAGAGATATCAGGCATGGCTTCTACCTTCTCCAACAACTGATGACTTTACAAGGGAGTATATCATGACTTACTCCAGCCCCAGGGGAGTTAAGTAATTATCACATGAAGCCTCTGAAACCATGAGCCCCCAAAAATCTTTCCACTTATTAAGCAGATTGTCTGTGATCATTTTGTCACAGTATCAATGTTGAAGGAATTAGCAGAATCTCTGTATTGGGCAGATATTAGAATGAACAGCTGTTTTTCAGAAGTTGTGACTTTGAGAAATCTTTATTAAAAACAGAGATTGTTTTGCTGAAGGTGCATTACAGCCATTCCATGACTTTGGTCACAAGATGCAGTTGACACACCTGAAGCTGTTGTATTATTGTATGTTGCAGCCATACATAATTAAGGTCTAGAGTCATGGGGGCTTCTGAAGCTCTCCTTTAGTAAGACATGTAAAATAGCTTAGGGGCCTTGGTATGAGGAAATACTTTGTGTAAAAATCAATAAATATGCCTTATGGTTGTTCAGGATTTAGTCCATGTGAGAATGTGAACCTTCCTACTGCCACACAGGCCTTAAAATTTCATCTTAGACTGCCTTGTTTATTAAAGTGTCCTGTGCTCTTATTTACAAATATAGTTTTGAACGACTCATCATTCTGCAAAAGGATTCATTCATTCTGATGCTTTGAGAGTAGGCATTAGCTTTTTAGATAGAATATAGTTTAGAAAAACAAGGATTCGTTAATAAAAATGAAAAACAGATTAAACATCGATATATTATCAGTAATTGATTGAAAAACAAAATCATTCATTTCAAATATTTTTTAAAAGTAAAATTTCAGGGCCGTTTTGTTTTAAAAATCTTATTTTCTTATACTCTCCAGTTGGAGGGATTTCTCATTTCTTATTCTGCTCCTCCTCCTCTTCTTCTCCCTCCTCTGTCTTTTATCTGCTCTCCTGCTCATTTTAACAACTCTGTTTGGTGCTATAATGTGGAAATACAGCATGAGTAATTCTATTTTTTTAATATGTTGAGGCTAGTGTAAGAGATCAGTCCAAACCTGAGCAAAGTAGCAGCATCTGTTGCTTTGCTTTCTCTTTAAGGTTGAAAGATCTCTCTTGGAGAGACAGGAGAGACTCATAATACCAGGGAAGTACATCCTGACAAGGTCCAAGATGCTCCTGGGATTCACAAGACTAAAGTCTTCTCTCTGAGGTTGTTTAAGCAATAACAATCTCTGGGGAGGAGGAGATTTTCTTACTGATGAGCAACCAACAAATCTAGCACCTTTCCTAAATCCTTACTGATGCTAGGTTAGACTGCTCATGGGTGCAGCTATCCTGAGACACTCAGGCACATATAAGCAACCACTGGCCCATCTTCCCAAAATCAATCCAAAGAAACTCACTGGTTCACTAAGCTGGATGTGGATGAAATCATTTCTTTGGTCTGTTATTAGTCTTTTATCTAGGCTGAATGTCTCTGCTGGATTACCTTCTTCTATACCTTTTATTTACCATAGGCATACTAATTGTGAAATTCAATTATCATAGTAGGTGGATTATATTCTACCTACTTAGGTGTGATGTATCAAGCTATCAAATTCAGAAATGCAAAATTTTGTTGAACTTCATAATCACATCTTCACCAAGTTCCATTATTTTTCACAATTACAAAGCTTTCCTTAATAACATCATTATTTTCCTCCATCGTTGTTACTCCATAGACTAGAGTATAAAAATAATCACTATCAGTCTATGCTATATGAAAAAGTAAAAAAGGAAAACAGAAAATGTAGTAAAGTTATGTAATTTATAATAATTTCCAAATGGATGAAACAGAATCACGTGTGCTAAAGATATTATTCATAAGTTCTGGGTCAAGTTGGAAAAGCCCAGATCTCTATAGTTTATGGAGAATTTTAATGCTTTTAATAAAGCTAAGCAGTCAGCTTAATAGGGAATAGGGGATACTTTGACCCTAACTCTGTCCTCAGTTCCTTCAGACCAATAAGTTTGCGGGTGTTAGCAAATAGTCACTGCACAACACATAAAAATAAGAACTATATATGGTTCTTGACCTTGACTACTATATTTTAATATTTCTTTTTACTTTTTTATTGTCAAACAGATTTTGTTTACTGTTTAGTATTGACTTAAGGACTTAAATAAGAATGCAAGAATTAATTTAAGATAATTCGCCACAGAAATAATCACTGTTATATATTGTTTTTTGTTTTGTTTTGAAATAAATTCTGTCTATGTCGCTTTGGTTGGAGTGGGAGTCACTGTCCAGTAATGCCGGTATTGAACTTTGAGTTATCTCTTACCTTTGCCTTTCAAATGCTGGGATATAAGATGCCCAATTACAACTGATAACATTGTTTCAAGATTCTAATTTGGTTTACTTGAGCAAACACATTTACATTTGAATGTTTTATGTGGGACTAATAATACTCTATTTGTAGTAAACCTGGTTAAGATATTTTGAAATTTAAGGTTTGCAACACCAAACTTTATAAAATAAAACATGTCAGACAGAAGAGCATAAACCCCATCCCCAAAACAAACACACCAAATATGCTTAATCTGTTGGAAAATAATTATTGTTGGATGAATTTTTAATTTTTTTCTTATAGTAATATATTCTCAACAAGCAGTTTATATATAAATATTTCAAGATTTTATTTGTTTTCAAATTGGGAGGTGATTGTCACTGCTGTTGATCATGAAGATGATATTATTTTACTCATATGTAATGAAGTAGCTAGCAGTTGTAAAATGTCCATATTAAAGCCATGGGAAGCCAAGTGCCTGATTTTCCTTCTTTGTAGTGGGACTTCGGCCAGCTTTCTTTAAAACTAATTATATTATAAAATTGAAAATATTTAGAACTCATAGATTAACTATTTTGACATTTAATAATATTAAAAATGAAACCATGAAAATAAATTACATGAAACCACATATTTCTATATAAATCCTTAACTCCACTGTAATGAACACAGGTTCTTTTGAGAAGTCGTTGGAAACTTTGGGGCCAGAGAGTTAGGTCACTGGTAAAGAGCACTTGTTCTTGAAAAGGACCTGGATTTGATTCCCAGCAACCACAGGGAGGCTTTTACCCTGCAGACACTGGGAATGCACGTGGTATACTAACATACATGCAGGCAAAACATACAAAATATTAAAATAAAATTAAAAAAAGATTGACAAAGAATTATTTAAAAATACTGCTGATTAATAATATTTAAATACAAATGATATTAGCAATCCCTAAGAGGATAATTATATAAATATATAACGATGGTACATATGTTGGAAAGTATTTCTATGTTATGGATATTTAATGTGGAACAAATGGCTTGAAATACAGCAAATGACTACTTTAAACTTAGATGCTATCTTTGACAGTAGACTTTAACTTAGGAGACAATAGTACAACGATTCTTCTACCTATGAGACAGGCATGAGAGGGCACATGTGTGAGCACATGCAAGCACTGTGCACACAAGCTTTTGTCAGCTTTTCAGGAAAAGTCATACATAGGTGATAGGTGTTTTTATCAGACTTAATAAAGTATTAGCTTTCCTACTGTCCCTTATCAATTTGGTTAGAAAATTTGGGGTTTTTAAAAAGTACATAAATCTGTCATTTAACAATCAGTAATAATTCTATATATAAATATGATGGAGCAAGGGATTTACAAACTCATTGCATATCCTTTGACTGAGTTTTAAAATTTTAATAGCAAATCAGTATCATGGATGAATACAAACTATGGTGGGCTTAAGCAGGAGGAAACTGTTTTAAACCAAATCCACAGATTTGTTTATTTGCATGCTTGCAAATGAGACTGTAGCTTCCCTCCAGCCTCAGCTCTGAAACTCACCAGTACTTAGAAGGGTGTATGAATAAAATTCATTTGAACTGTTTTGCAACATTCCTGTTTCAAAAACAAAACAAAACAAAAAACAGCACCAAATAGATTCACCAGAACACAGGTCTGCTTTTGCACTAGACATGGGCCATTGTATTTAAACACAGCACAATCTTACAGCACTGACTGTAAACGCAGAGCATAGGAATCAGTGTATTCACATAAATCACTGCCCCGGACACAAGAGCTAAAATTTCGTTTTTCCTTTTTTGAAAACTATTTCTTCAGATGCGATGAGTTTTTTCATGATGATTGCAACTGTCGCAATGATGGCAGAGATTATACTTGGAAGCCTGGCCAATGTCTTCATTGTTCTGGTGAACTTTACTGGCTGCATCAAGAGAAGCAAAATCTCCTTAGCTGATAGAATTCTCACTGCTCTGGCCATCTTCAGGTTTGCTTTGCTTTGCATAATATTAATGAATTGGTGCTCAACTGTGTTTGATCCAGTTTTATTAACTGTACAAGTAAAATCTTTTATTTGTTATGCCTGGGCTATAACCAACCATTTTAATACCTGGCTGGCAACAATACTCTGCATACTATATTTGCTGAAGATAGGCAATTTCTCAAACCTTATTTTTCTTGGCCTGAAGGAAAAAATTAAGAGTGTCATTGTAGTTGTACTTTTGGGGAGTTTGGCATTTTTGTTTCCCAATCTTCTGATGATGAACACATGTGGCAAAGTCCAAGCGAATGATCACAGTGGCAACTTGACTGGGAAGACAAAACTGGCTTATATCTTAAACCGTACAGTTATGATGACATTCACTCTAAACAATGTCGTTCCCTTCACCATATCGATGATCTGTTTCCTGCTGTTAATCTATTCTCTGTGTAAACACCTTAAGACAATGAAGCTTTACAGAAGAGGATGCCACGATCCAAGCACTATGGCCCACATTAAGGCTTTGCAAGCTGTGATCTCCTTTCTGCTATTATTTTCCATGTTCTTTCTGTCTCTAATCATATCAGGTCACAGCTATATGAAGTCTCTGGATGAGTCAGTCCACCTAATTTGCCAGGTTATTGGAACATTATATCCTTCAAGCCATTCCTACATACTGATATGGGGAAACAGGAAGTTCAAACAGGCCTTAGTGTTGACAATGGTGCAGGTGAAAACAAACTTCTGGCTGAAAGAACCGAAACATTAAAGTCCTTCAACCAATATCAGAGATGTGGTGTGAGTAGCAGCTTCCTATTGCTTTTGAAAAATGGACTATGTTTAAATTATTTCTAAACAAATTTCTGGAAAGTATATCTTTGCCTACCAAATTAGCAATTTTTTGTGTTTGTGAACATGTATAAAATATACAAGAAAACCTGTCTACAGCATTTCCTTAATACTGCTTCAATAAAAACTATGCCATTATTCAGCATATGATTCACATTTTTTCAGAATTATGGAGCTAGGTATATCCAATAAAAATACTTATCCTCTATAAAGTAAGTTTAAAACTATTTTTAAATATTATGTAAAACTGTTAGCTTGTTTCAAGAAATCATTGCTGTTCACATTTTTCTTTGTACCACATGTATATATCAAATTATTTTGATTTCTGATAGGTTACCTATTGCTGGTCAACACTAAATATGGGTGTGTACAAGCAAAACTAGACTTAGTAGGTTTTTTTCTGTTTGTGTGTGTGTGCGTGTGTGTGTGTGTGTGTGTGTGTGTGTGTGTGTGTGATGATAATTATAGCTAAAAAAGGCCTTGATTTTAAGAGGAATTGGTGGGAGGAGATGGGACAGAAGGAGAATGAAACTGATACAAATACAGTACCTCATGCATGAAATTCTTAAAAACAATATTTGATTATTTTAATAAATGTTTTTATATTCAGGAATAAAAGTGGCAAATTTAAGTACATCTGTCTTAGAAGAAAATCCATCATTATTTTATCAATGAAAATAAGAAGTGTAGTTAAATATTGTAAATATATTCATTTGTTACACAATTTTTATGATAGTTTTTCATTGATACTATCTCAATACTTTAAGGAAATTATAATAGCTGTGATTAGAATTCATCAGCTCTATTATACTCTTCTCTCTCCTTATTGCCTCCCCCACACCAATGATTCTTTCCTCTTTAGCAGATCACACTGAATATGAGAGTACAGGAAGGGAATAAGTGGAGTGGGGTAAGAAAACCTCTGCAGGTAGAGGGTAAGCAGATGAGGAGTAAGAGTAAGAGAGTTGTGTAACCAAAGCTAAGCGTATGTTGATTTCAATGACGAATCACCGTGTCTTTTGGACATCTAGTATACTCAATTCTAACTCACATATTGAAGACTGTCTGAGGTAGATTTTAGTTCTAAGAATTGTTGAGTGGTGATGGGTCACACCTTTAAGTCCAGGATTCAGGAGGTAGAGGTAAACAGATTTCTGTGAGTCTGAAGTCAGCCTGGTCTACAGAGCAAGTTTCAGGACAGTCAGGGCAACACAGAAAACCCTGTCTCTTAAAAACAAAAATCAAAAACAAGTACAAAAAAGCAGGAATTTTGAGGCCTGGGAACATGAGAGAAAAAAAGCAACAGCTCCATGCCATGCTTTGCTGCTGGGGCAGGCAGTGCATAACCAGGTGTCTACTGGGTTATGCCGATCCTAGTGGCCTACCCTGACACCTGGAACCATGGTGACATCCAAGTCTTCTATTTAGGGCTGGATGCCCATGGTCTAGGTTCCAACGTGTGTCCATGTAGATATCCAAGTTTTGTGTCTCCACCAGGGCCTTGAAAGTGGAATACACTTTCACTCAGAGCCATGGTGTCATCTGGGCTAGGTCTTCTGCCAACAGCCAAGTCTGCCTACAGCAACTGAGTTGATGTTCATAGCTCCACCAAGGGCTGTGCAGATGACTAAAGTTGTGTTATCCACCTGAGACCATGTGTGAGATTCACATTGAAATCTCTCATCCATATCTTGGTGCTGGTTTCACCTTTGAAGACACAATCTTGTTTAACAGATGCCACTCAAGTTTTGCCTTCTCTGGGGACCAAGGTTCCACCTCTTTACCATAAGCCCATGATTGGCTTGTTGTTTTTATTTCCCCATTTGCCCTATAAATCTATCTTTGCTATCTGGAAGGAGGCAAAAAAGTGAAAAAGATATTTCTTTCATGGCATTGAAATTGCGATTTTCACCTTGCAAAATCTTCATAAACCATTCATCTGCTGAAACATATAGGTTGTTTCTATTTGCTAGCTATTGTGAATGGACAGGCATTGAACATGACTAACCAAGTCTGTAGGGTAGAAGGTGTGAAGAACTGGTACAGCTATGTCTTATAATCGATTTATTTTCGCTTTTTGAGAAGTCGTCATATTGATTTTCATAGTGGCTAAAACTAAAAAACAAAAGGAAAGAAATACAGATTTTCTTCTATTTTCAATTCTCTTTAACATTGGGGCATGCTGTCTTGTTTCTCTTTTCTGTATATCTCTACCGTAGCTGGAATCATCTGTGAAAATTTTACTGTATATTTCCTTCACTTTTACTTAGTACTACTAAGAGATTGAGACTGTGTCAGTCAGTCACAATAAGGTACTTACTCTCTGTGCGTTTCTTGAAAGTCAAGATGTATGTTCCTGTATCTTTCTTAGCATTTGCTTTTTCTAGTGTTTTTTTGGTGTTGTTGTTGTTCTGTCTGTTCTTCATCTCTTTAAGAACATCTGTGTCATACTGCTTCATTATCAGCATGCCCAGTTCATGAAGTTATGGAGCAGATAATGAAGGAAGGTGAGGTACGAGATAGGCAACTAAGGATTCATAGTGTTTATGTAGCACTGTGTTGTGGTATATAAAAGCAAAAGAGAATGGGGAAGAATTTGGCTATATGATAGAACCTACATACCAATGTAGTTGCATTTCATTTGCATTTTAATAAATAAAGCTTGTCTGAAGACCAGAAAGTGAAACAGCCCCGCTGGTCAGTTTTACAGTCCAGGCATGGTAAAACACACATTTAATCCAAGTAACCACACTAGTTGCCAAAAAAACCAGGTGTGCATGCTTTTAATCCAAGTGGTGCATGCCTTTAATCTCAGTCTGAGAGAGTATTATAAAGTGGAAGGAGACCGATCTCAGTATCTGTCTCATTCTGAGATTCCAGAAGGTAGGATTGCCATTTTTGGACTGAGGTTGAAGTAAGAGCCAGTGGCTGGCTGTTTTGCCTTTAGGAACTTCAGGTTGAACCCCAGTTTCTCTCTCTGATGTTTTATTAATCATGCATCACACCAATGAGTCTGTTTCATTGAGCCAGAGATAGAATCCCTGTTTATTCATAAGCACAGAAAATGTGAATAGTGCATAATTGTGATCAATCGGATTTTTAACTGGAATGTGAAAAATATTTCTTTGCCTGAAGTGAGACACACTAAAGTGGTGGTTCTATAGAAGTATAATTTCTTTACCCATCAATTTTAGGCAAGCTGTTTTTTAAGTTTATTAACTCTTAAGTTAAGCTCGTAGTAATATAGGTTAAAGCAGTTGCATTATTAAACAAAAATTCTATCCTGGACACACCTTTGCCCCAAGCTATTACCATCTGCAAATCTACAAACTTAATTCCAGACCTGTGTCCCAAGAATTGTCTTCGTGTGCCAGCTTCATTTCCTGGATGAACGTAGCTACAAACTCTTATCAAATCATTTTCTCTTTAGGGAAAATGGAGCCCATCACACAAAGTCACAAATGTGTAGAATACAGAGAACAATAGAACCCAACCCCAGTTGATATATTTACATCACAGCTCTGGTTCCAATTGTTCAAGACATATCTGAGAAGAAAGGGAAGAAAGATTGTGAAGGTCACTATAGCAGAAGGTCTCTTCTGGAAATGGTCACATAAACGAGAGAAGAATGGCACTATCAGTGGACATGATCATGTTGAAGGGAAAAGTTTTGTGTGATCCCTCCCCTAGGCCCAGAACAGGTAACTAATGAGTTCTGGGGGTAGGAATGATTTTTCCCAGTTCAGAACCTCTTTATTAGTTGTCTAATACAGAGTGGTCAGCTCTGAAGCTAATATATTCAAACAGCATAAACAAACTCAGAAGGTTGTATTTATAAATTTGTACATAAAAGTACATACAGACACAGAAATAACATGCGTGTGTAAATACATATTTGTATGTAGCAATAACAACCATGGAAAAAAAGATTTGAGAGTGGGGAGGCATGGAAGGAATTGGACAGAAGGTGCCTGGTGGCAGGGGTGCGACTGGAGGAAAAATAGGGAAGGGGGATGATAAAAGTATGCACATATAAAAATATCCTACCCTGACATAGATGATTCCCTTCAGTTATTATCCATCTCCTGTATACTTAGACCTCATCCAAGACTACACGAAACTGGGAGACAGAAGGAAAAAATGGTTGGACTCACAAGTAAGGATCTTATAATTCTATCCTGTTCTCCTTATGATAGAAAAGATAAACAAGCCAACCGGTCATTTTCTGTACCTAGCTTAACTGTATTATTTTGCTGAATTCAGTGTTGTGACTATGACACAAAGCATTCTGTAGTTTTACCACAACAACCATGAAAGCCATGGCTGGACACTGCTTTAAACCAAGGACAACTAAGAAGTGCCCTTGAGACAGTATCTTCATAAGAATTACTGAACAGAGAATGGCATTAATTGATGCTAATGAAAGTAAAAACCTGTATTATTGGGAAAAGGAATAAAATGGAATGGATTTATGATGTGGAAGTCCCTTCTGTGTACTGTCATTACCATTAATGAATAAGGAAACTGTCTTGGCCTGTTTATAGGGCATTAGTTAGTCAGGGAAGATAGAACTGAATGCTAGGAGAAAGAAGACAGAGTCAGGGAGAGACACCATGGAGCTGCCAGAGTTAGACATGGCGAATCTTTGCCAATAATCCCTTGCTATGTGACAATATACAGATTAATAGAAATGGGTTGAATGAATATAAGAATTAGCCAATAAGAAGCTAGAGCTAGTGGGGCAAGCAGTGTTTTAATATAGTTTTTGTGTGGTTAATTTGATTCTGTGCAGCTTGGACAAATAAGCAGGCCATCCTCCTTCAGATTTAATAAGTTTGAATATAAGCCTTATTATGTATAGTAAATAATATGCAAAATGCAAAGTAAAATGATAAATCAACATTATATTCAGTGCCTGGG